GCCATTCCACCACTCATCGAGCCACAAATTTCACTCGTAGGGTCATTACCGGACATATAAGTCCAGTTGTACAAATTACAACTGAAACTACCGAGCTTAAGCTGCGGTCTAACCATGGCCTCAAGTCCTCCAGACTGGCCCATCACCAAAACACAGAATACACATCTTGCACATCATCCCTGAAATCACAAGCCGACGATACACAGCTGATACCGAGCGCCCATGTGCGCATAGGAATGCATGGGAGGAATTCAAAGAGTTATATTTCAAGCTGAATCAATTCCGCACGATAAAGAAAGAAAGATGGAAAATTATCCTGAATGCCCTGTAGCCTCTTGAAGATAGGTATGGACGTCATCATACTGATCCGCAAGACTCTACCACACACTTGCTCATGATTTGTAGAACCTATGAACCTAGTGCTCTGATACCACCTTGTCACAACCCAAAATCCAACTAGTCATGATGGCACCTAACCCAATCCGTTAAGTAAGCCAATTACCAACTATCTGATTCCAATGAAATTAACGAGGTAATTAAATAAAAGAAAATATCTAAAACCAATGCTTTTCCCCAAGAACTGGTAGTACAAATTATGACTTCTAAAAATAAAGTTTACAAAGCTGGTATGAAAAAATATATCATCTATTTGAGAAATACATAAACAGAGTTTTATGAATATAAGACTACCATGAACAAGAGGCAGTTACAACCGAAACGCAGATACATCTTCAAATCCAGCTCCCATCGAACACAACAATATTAGCAGCCAACATCTGCACACAAGGTGCAGAAGTATAGTATCAGTACAACCGACCCTATATACTGAGTAAGTAACAAACCTAACCTTAGGTTGAAAGTAGTGACGAGCTTTTACCAAGGACGGGTCCAAAACTAATAGTCCACAACAATATCCAGAAAACAAATCTCATAACAACAGAATTGAGACAGCACAATGAATAACTCAATAACAAAGTGCTCATTTCGTTCACAGTTCTGGAAAAAAATAAACATTTTTATTTTCAAATATAATAGTAAAACTCAATTCTTTTCACTAAAATCACCAAAATATGAGTAAGTCTGAAAACTGTGATTTTCTCAAAATTCTTTCAATAATAAATGGGATGTTTCATTTTCTTTCCAAATAACCCGTATAAAATAATTGCATCACTATGCCCATTTGTCAATATGTGTGAGAAATCATGAATGATGTGATACTGTACAGCATGAGGAAAAATCCATCTTTATGCATGTATGTCATGTGTGCATGTCAATGCGATGCAACTCAGTGATAAAATCATATGCATACTCTCAGAGTATTATTTCACTCGGTCCTCCCAATCACTCAGTCCTCCCAGTCACTCATGCCTCACAGTCACTCAATCCTCCCAAATCATCGGCACTCGCGCTCGGCACCCGCGCTCGCCACTCGCGCTCAGTAGGTACCTAGGCTCACTGGGGGTGTGTACAGACTCCGGAGGGGCTCCTTCAGCCCAAGCGCTAAATCAAGCCAATCATGGCATAAATCAATGAACATGTTGCGGCGTGCAGCCCGATCCATAAATATACTCACAATTAGGCACTCGGCCTCACTCAGTCATCAACCTCTCCAGTCTCTCGGGCTCTAAGAAATCATGATAAGCAGCCCAACAATTAATAAGAGAGACTAAGGTATGATATGAAATGAATAAACATGACTGAGTGAAAAATTACAATTTGAACTTATTATTCAACCACAAAAATGACCCCAATGGGTACCAACAATAACAACATATACCTAAGCATGATTTTTAATACGAGTCTCAACTCACTTTTCTCTAACACGTAGATAATGTACGGATATCAACAGATTATTCAACTATACATTCCCATGGAATTTGACCAAGTCATAATTTCTATGGTGCACGCCCACACGCCCGTTACCTAGCATGTGCGTCACCTCCAAACAATTCACATAATACGTATATTCGGGATTCATACCCTCAGCTCCAAGATTAGAAGAGTTACTTACCTCGAACAAGCCGGATCCTATGTCGAGCAAGCCAAACAATACTTTCAGAAATTCTATTATGCGCGTAACAACTTCCGAACGGCTCAAATCTAGTCATAATTAATTTAATTCAGTCAACCTAAATTATATGAATTTATTCCATATCAAAATATTATTTTTTCTACAAAAATCCGAATTTACACTCAAAAATCTCCTGTGTGGCCCATATCTCGGAACCCGACGAAAGTTATAAAATATTAATGCCCATCCAACCATGAGTCCATCCATATAAATTTCATCAAATTCCGACATCAACTCGACCCTCAAATCTTCAATTGAAGTTTTTGAAGATTTCTACCATTTTCAACCCAATCTTTACCCATTTGAACTCAAGACTCTTTCCATAAGTCTTATTAATACGTATAAATAATACTCTTACACCCAAGAATCATACTCTTAATCACCCATCATTACCCAAACTCGAAATTGAAGATTAGGGGTTAGAACCTTACCTCTTTGATGAAGAACTTGAGGGATTTCTCGTTGAATTTCAAGGCTTGGACAAGAATTTGATGAACAAGACACTTCATCTACTTCCTCTCTCTAGAACACTCTCACTTCTCTCTAAAATCATTAGATAATTACCCCAAAATAAGTCTCAAAGCCTATTTATCAAAATGGGGTCGGGTTATAAAAATAGAAAAATTAACCCGCTAAAAGCAGGTCTGTGGTCGCATAATGGATCGCAAAATGGGTATGCGGACCGCAAAATTGATCGCAAAATTGGTACCCAGAACTAGGCTCTTCTGGTCCATTCTGCGACCAGTTTGTGGTCGCAGAAGCAGTTTTGCAATCGCATAATTGGTCGCAGAATTGTATTTTTCTAGCATTTGGTAATTTGGTCATAACCTCTTGTAGGAATGTCCAAATGACAAACGGTTTAAAGCGTTAGAAACTTGACTCAAAGATCTTTCATTTGATAGGTAATACACCATATAACATTTCGTGTCCTTAGAGTTATGCTCATTTGAAGTTATGTCTTGTGCGAACTCACTTGACTTTAGTCTATTATGAAATTTCTAACTTCTATATTCGATGCCGAAACCTATCGAATCAAGTCCGATTGATCTCAAATTTTGCACACAAGTCATAAATGACATAGCAGATCTATTTCAATTTTCGGAATCGGATTCCGACCCCAATATCAAAAAGTCAACCCCTGGTCAAACTTTCCAAAAATTCAACTTTTGCCATTTCAAGCCTAATACTACTACGGACCTCCAAATAATTTTTCGAACACGCTCCTATGTCTAAAATCACCATACGTAGCTATTGGAAGTATCAAAACTCCATTCCGGGGTCGTTTACACATAAGTCGACATCCGATCACTATTTTAACTTAAGTTTTCAATTATGAGACTATTGTCTCATTTCTCTCCGAAATCCTTCCGGACCCGAATCAACTAACCCGATAAGTCATAAATCAACTGCAAGACATAAATTAAGCAGTAAATGGGGGAACGGATTTATAATACTCAAAACGACCGGCCGGGTTATTACAACCTAGCACTCCTTTTTCTGTTAAGTATATGAGAAGCAGGAATCATGCTTCTGAACATATATATACTCCTGAATATTATTCAACCATGAAGCACGAGCAGGATAATTCTTACCATTAAAGAATATTCAACCTAAAGTATTATTCACCTAATTCTTTACAAAATAGAAGAACGAATTCATACACAACACATGAATGTTACAAGAGATGATCAAACACCGCACATGAATTTGACAAGATCAGCTGGAGTTAGGTAATCAAATTGAGATATAGCTTTGCATTGTATTTATTCAATTAGTATTATTCTAATTCCGCAAATAAATCCATACCATAGGTTATAGTCTCTAAATGTACCCACCAACTTGTCTGTTTAGGAACATTATTAAAATTAAGGCAAAATACATCTTCCACAACATATTTTTAGCTTACACATAAGGGAAACCATTATATGGACGTTTATTGTAAAGCTGAACAAAGCTAAAAAAATATAATCAGTTTTAAAATCTTTCAGAAAGTTATTAGAATGATAAAAGTTAAATAATTCAGAATAAGTCAACATAAGAATTATCATGCTATTTTACATTTCAATCTTTTTCTTTCATACAGCAATCTCCAAGCAGTAATACTTTTAACAGTTGCAGAAATTATTAAGTGGAAGAGCTGCTAAAAATATTTATAAATGAAGAGCTCTAATGTTTTTCATTTTTCTTTTTGGTTCAAAGAGAGGTGTACCATGGTTTAACCAAACTTAACTAGAAGTAAATGGAACAAAGGATACATATTACAAGATCAACGGACTTCAATATAGTGAATCTGTATATAGAAGTTGATTACCAAGAGAAAAAAAAGAACAATAAAATTATACAGCAATTAGTTTCTACATAAGCTACTTTTTAGGCTGTTTTTTGCTCTCCTTTTCATCACACGAAAGTTATTTAAAAAAAATAAAAAATAAAAAAGAAAGAAAAACAACAACAACGACCCAGAAAAAAAGAAAAAAAGAAAAAAAGAAAAAAAGAACAGAATCAAACACGTGGGTATAAGACCTAGTAATTAATTAGGTGAACTACATAGAAGGCCTAAATTAAAGGAAAAGTTAGACGACATAACAAACATATACATATACAGTTGTATTTACCGTTCGTAGCTATACTTTCAGAAAATTATCATTCTTAGTCATAGTTGAATTTTGTAACAAATCCACCTATAATACTAAAACAAGAGATCAATTGTTTTGAAACTTAAACAAAAGAACAACAAACTCTTGTAGCTCAGTTGGTTAGAGCATCATTTGCTTAGTAAGCAGAGGTCTCGTTCAAACAATTGAATAGTAGCTACGAATGGTAATCAAACAAACTATAGTCACTAATTAAGCTCTAAATTATAAAAATTATTTTATTACTGGTCACACTTTTTGTTACTAGTAGTAGGTCGTCTATAAAACTAAAAGAAATGGGCAGAGCAAAATCAATTTCATTTCGTCTCTTAGTGAAAATGGACAAATTCACATTTCAATTTTCCTTGCTCTTGTGTTTCCTCTTGTTTTCTCCATGTCAATCAAATGCTGCTCCAATTTCAAAACCCAACAACAATAATAATGCCACCGCACTGCTTAACAAAGCTTGCTCACGGGCCAGCGATAAACCTTTTTGCATGAATTATCTCAAGAGCAATCCAAAGGTTATGGCAGCTACAACATCAAAACCCTTAGACTTTGCACTTGCCATTATTCAGTCAGGAGCAGACCAAGCAAAAATTACTCATGCATATTTTTCCAAACCCAAAGGAACTAAACTCAGTCCACAAGCTATTAAGGCTTATAATCATTGCAAAAACCATTGGAGTGAGTTGGCTAGCGGATTGGAAAGAAGTGTCAAGAATATAACAGATCAACAAGGCTATGCTTATGATACAACAGATTATGATCTTAAGGTGAATCTTGACAAAGCAGCCAATTGTGGAAGAGCGTTAGAGTCGGTGCGAATTTACGATCCTGTATTTGCAGAAGCTAACAAAAAGGTGTCACTGGCCGTAATGGGTGCAGACGCGATTCTGGTTGATGTTAAGCCTCCTAAAAAGCTGGACTAGTGCTAAACTTGTGTTCTTTATAGGAACAAAAAAAGAAGAACAAAGAATTACGAAATAAGTCAGAGGCACTTGACCACTGAATTATTAGATTAATATTTTAAAGAGAATGAGATTCTCTCGTGAGGTGGGATATTCAACCTAATAGTATTAAATTTTGACTAGAGAAATCACAATATTGTTTCTTGATATCTCAATTGGTCAAATTTAAAATCAAGTGTCTTCTTGCGATTAGATCAAAAAAACTACTTTCAGTAATGTATATTATTCAAATTTTAAGACAAAATAAACTCCTTTAAAATTTCAGTGAACTCCTTTACAGAGCTAAACCTTAGAAGTTAGATGGATAATGATGCAAAAATATTATAACACCAAATTGAAAAGATTCAAATGAATCAAGGTTGATTTTTTACTTTATTTTTAAGACTCGTTATAAAAAGACTTAAGAATATAACAAAGGCAGAGCCATGATTTGAAGTTTACGAGTTCACAATTTTAATCATTTTTAGTTATTGGGTTCTAAATTTTTTAAGATAAATATAAAGTTTGAACCAAAACTACTGGGTTCGATCGAACAAGTAGGAAACATGCTCCGTCCCTGTGATACAATATAAAGTATCCCAAATCAGTTCAATGCTAACATCATCCGCCCTTTTGTTTTCTTAGTTAGAACTTCGTACAAAACATTCACACAAAAACTATATATACGTGATCTAAGTTATGTTGATCTAAATGTAACATATTCCCTGCGCAAAGGGACTAAAAATGCAGATCTTAGTAAATTGAAAGTTCAATATGCTAAATCAAATATCACAAGGATCAAAATCAGAATTTACCAATAATTAGAGATCAAAGGTGCATTTATCTCCTATATATATGTATCTTCTAATCGGTTTATATAAAACGTTATCTCTGTTTGGTTTAGGATCATTATTGGGACTAGTGGTGACAAAAATGATTTTAAAAAAGGAAAATCTACACAAAATGCCCATTTGGGCCAAATTAGTTACCTGCTCCAAACTTTTTACATAATACACCCATGCGATTCGAAATATTTACCCCGACTTTCCCCTAACATTCCCATTTTCTCATTAATTTCTCTTTGTCATTTTGTGTTTTTCCCCTAACTCCATGGATAAGTTAACTCCTCAACTACATATAGAGGTGGATTTAGGATTCAAATTTTGTGGGTTTAACTTTTAGGATTTTAGTATTGAACTGATTATACTGTTAAAATTATGAGTTCAAATCTAATACTTGTTGACATTTTAATAGATATTTACATATAAATCCATACTATGTGTTGGAAGTTATGAGTTCAATTGAACTCGTATCTGAAAGGCTACATCCGCCCCTGATCACATACTACGATTAACTAACTCTAAGGATTATTATTACTAGGACTTACTATATGATATACAATCTAATGATAAAGAAAAAGTGAAATAAAATAAGATTTTTTTTAAAAAACAATTAGAGCTAACTAAATGATATATTGTAATAATATGTAATATTTCAGCTGAAACTTGAATAAAAATATATTTACCCAATAGTATACCATTACGGTATAAGAATATACCGTAAGAGTATACAGTTATGCTGCAACAGTATACTGTAATAGTATACATATATATTGAAAGGATATACTATAATAATATGCAAATTAAAACATAGTTACCCAACGGGTATACCGTTACTGTATCGCAGTATAATGTAAGAGTATACTATAATAAAGTATATGGTTATACTACAATATTATACTATAATAATATACATATATACCGAAACATTATATGGGTAAGGTCGTATAAATATTTTGTATGGGTAGAATCAGGGTAATTATTTTGGTTTCTATGGGTAACCCTGTATATATCCCTTTTAAAAAATAGTTATTTACTATCACGACCCAAAATCTGACTAGTCGTGATGGCACCTAACCCAACCCGCTAGGTATGCCAATTAACCACTAATCAATTCCAATAACAATAAATATCTGAATCTAATACATTCCCCAAGAACTGGTAGTACAAATCATGAGCTTCTAAGAATAGAGTTTACAAAGCGAAAATAAAATAAAAATATAATCTGTTTGGATAGTACATAAACAGAGTTTTACAGATCTAAAGCTACCACGAACAAGAGGCAGCTATAGCCAGGATACAACTACATCTTCAATTCATCTCCCATCGAACACATCAACATTAGCAGCCAACATCTACACACAATGTGCAGAAGTGTAGTATGAGTACAACCGACCTCATGTACTCAATAAGTAACAAACCTAACCTTAGGTTGAAAGTAGTGACGAGCTAACAGAAAGGTCGGGTCCAACACCAATATTCCACAACAGTTCATAACATCATAGTACATGTAGCAAAAGAGTATCTCAGAAATAAAAGGCTCAGTCTGTTCACAGTTCCAGAAAAATAGGCATTTCTTTTTAAGTATCTCAGTGAAAATCTAAATCTTTTACCGAAAAAACCAAAAATACGAGTAAGTTTGAAAACTGTAATTTCTTCCAAAACTCCTTTCAACAAATAGTAAGATGTTTCATTTTCAGATAGCATGACGAAAGCACTTCTCTATACCTACATGTCAAGATACAGGTAAAATCATAAATGTCCCCAAAACCGGGTAGCAGAAGGAAATGCATCTCTATGCATGTATCTCAAGTACGTATGTCAAATGCAAAGCATCTCAATGATGAGCTCATGTACTCACACTCTTAGAGTACTCAATCTCACTGTCTCGCATTCTCTCTCACTATGCTCAATGCTTAGCACACTCAATCACTCAGTGATTTACAATACCTACTGCGGCGTGTAACCCGATCCATATATGACCATAAGGCCCGTTGCGGCGTGCAACCCGATCCACATATATATAGTCGACTGCACTCACTAGGGGTGTGCAGACTCCGGAGGGGCTCCTTCAGCCCAAACGTTATATTGATGCGACGTGCAACCCGATCCAATATTGTTGTGGCATGCAACCCGATCCAATATTATATATATAGCCCGGAGGCTTGTTGCGGCGTGCAACCCGATCCATATAAAATATAATCAATATAATATGCTGCGACATGCAACCCGATCCCGAAATGTCACTCTCACTCAGGCCCTCGGCCTCACTCAGTCATCAATCTCTCCAATCTCTCTCATAGGCTCATAATGTCATGAAACTAGCCCGACAACAATGATATGATGAATAAATAAATATTATCTAAGACTGAGATATGGTATGAATGCATGGATATAATTGAGTACGAAATATCAATGAAATCAGTGATATGACAGTAAGAAACGACCACTATGGGTCCAAACAGTATCAGCATAATGCCTAAACATGATATTTAGCATGATTGACAACTTAACTACTTTATCACATGGTGAAAACACAGATACCAACAAAGTAGGACCACTATACAGTGCCATGGGAAACAATAGAGTCTCAATTCACATGGTGCCCGCCCACACGCCCGTCACCTAGAATGTGCGTCACCTCAATACCAATCACATAACACGTATTTCGGGGTTTCATACCCTCATCACTAAGATTAAAAGAGTTACTTACCTCGAACAAGCCAATTCCAACACCGAGCAAGCTAAGCGATGCTCCAAAATGACATCTCGCGTGTTCTGACCTCCGAACGACCTGAAACTAACCAACAACAACTCAAGTACATCAAATAATGCTAAAGGAACAAATCCCGGTCGAAAAAGATCAAATTTTGAATAAAAAAACCCAAAACCGACCAAATATCCAACCCGGTCTCGCACCTCGGAACCCGACAAAATTTACAAAATCCAACAACCCATTTAATTACGAGTCCAACCACACTAGGTTCACTCAAATCCGACTCCAAGTCGATATTCAAAACTCAAAAATTCACATTATAAAACTGTAAGCCAAAACCCCCAATTTCCTCTTTAAACTTAACAATCCCATTACCAAAAACGAAGATAGATTCATGAAATATAACCAAAACCGAGTAGAGAACACTTACCCAATTCATATGCTGAAAATTTCTTCACGAATCGCCTCAATCTGAGCTCCGTAGCTCCCAAAAATGTAAAAATGGCCGAAACCCTCGAAATAAAGTACTTTATACTTCTGCCCAGGCATCCTCTTACGCGAATGCATCAACACCATCGCGTTTGTGATGAACAAAATAATCTGCCACCATAATACACTTCGCGTTCGGGGTAAAAACCTCACGAATGCGACTCACAGCTGGCTCAGACCTTCGCGAATGCGGCTCTAACTATGCGAACGCGATGAAGAAGGCCTCCGGCTCTGGCTCCTAGCTCAACCCTAAGCATCCGCGATCCATCATATGCGAACGCGAAGAAGACTTGCCCCAACACAACACGAACGCGGACCATTACTCGTGAACACAATGACGAAATGATACTGCCATCCAAATACACTACGCGTTAGCGACACTTGCCACGCGAACGCGATGAAGAACTGAGACACCAGAAAATAGCAGAACACAACAGTACCAAAATGAATAAAAATGATTCGAAATCAATCCGAAACACGCCCGAGCCTCTCGGGACCCTATCCAAACATACCAACAAGTCCTATTACATAACAAAGACCTACTCGAGGCCTCAAAACACACAAAACAACATTGGAATGACGAATTACACCTCAATTCAAATTCAATAAACTTTGAAACTTCAACTTCCACAACTGATGCCGAAACCTATCAAATCACGTTCGATTAACCTCAAATTTTGCACACAAGTCACATTCAACATTTCGGACCTGCTCCAACTTCCAGAATCGGAATCAGAATCCGACTCCAATATCAAAAAGACCAATCCCGATCAAATTTTCCAAAATTTCAACTTTCGCCATTTCGAGCCAAATTCAACCGCAGACCTCTAAATCACAATCCGGACGCGCTCCTAAGTCCGAAATCACCCAACGGAACTAATGGAACAATCAAAACTCCGTTCTGGGTTCAAATTCACAAAAAGTCAAACTTGGTCATC